CTGTCTTCTTCCCCTTCCTCCCACCTTTCTATGTCCCTGCCTTTGCACCCCCTTTTCATTATCCTAAGTATAACCACACCTCATAACACAAGGTGAACCACATTACCTTGTCAGGGATTTGGAACTACCCAAGAGTAAGGCAGAACTGTTGGGCTCCAGACTACAGCAGTGGAATCTCCTGGCAAGTGATGTTAGGGTTTCCATGTTCCGTGACCGTCAAAAGGATCTTGTCCCATTCTTCTTCATGGAAGGTGATCTTATAGCGTGCAACTACATCGATGGTGTGATGGCAGCCCTCAACATCGTTCACGATCCAGATGAGTGGAGACTCTTCATTGATTCATCGAAGACGAGTCTTAAAGCTGTTTTACTGCATAATGGCAATGTTTTGCCATCAATTCCAGTTGGTCATGCAGTCCATATGAAGGAAACCTATGACAACATGAAACAACTTTTGAGGTGCATAAACTATGACCAACATCAGTGGCAGCTTTGTGGCGATTTGAAGGTTGTTGCTCTGTTGCTTTGTCTGCAGACTGGATACACAAAGTACTGCTGTTTTCTCTGCGAATGGGATAGTCGTGCAAGAGATTCCCACTACATCAAGAAAGATTGGCCACTCCGACAGTCATTGGAGCCTGGGAGGAAAAGTGTTCAGCATCCACCACTTGTTGAATCAAGGAAGATTTTGTTACCACCCTTCCACATCAAGCTGGGTCTGATGAAGAACTTTGTCAAGGCCATTGACAAAACACAAGCAGTTTTCAAGTACCTCCATGGAAAATTTCCAAGGTTAAGTGAAGCTAAGATAAAGGAAGGTGTTTTTGTTGGTCCTCAGATTCGTGAACTTCTTTGAGATGATGCATTTGACCATGCACTGCGTGGCAAGGAAAAGACGGCATGGAAAGCCTTTCAGTTAGTGGCAATAAATTTTCTCGGAAACAACAAGGCAGACAACTACAGGTTGTTGGTGGAAAACCTCCTCAAGGCATACAAAAGCCTTGGTTGCAACATATCACTAAAGATACATTTTTTGCACTCTCATCTAGATTTTTTTCCCACCAAACTGCGGAGCAGTGAGCGACGAGTACGGCGAGCTATTTCACCAGGACATTGCAACAATGGAGAAACACTATCAGGGCCAATAGAGCCCATCAATGCTTGCAGACTATTGCTGGACAGTGACAAGAGATGCTCCATTTAATACAAGAGACAAGCCAAGAAACGCCGAGTAGACACCGAATAGGACTAAACTATGTACATAATAGTTTTTTGCCTTTTGTTTCATAATAAATTTTATTTCTATAACCCTTTTGCTGATTTTTAAAGTGTTACATAAACAGGACAGGTGAAATATTATCATGTAAAGCAACCATAAACACATGAAAAGACCTAGGTTTACAATTTATGATTAAAACTCTATCTACACAATATACATAGACATAAAATGTAAAAACTTAAATATCTTAGAAACAGTAGCCAATCAGTTGTTTTAATTGTCATATTTGAAATCAGCACATCAAAATACATAATAAATAGCACATTTTATCTCTGAAACAGACTACTTCTCAAAAATTGTAGACCAGTGTTACATTTGGCTGGTGTCTGAAACAATTGCAGTGATGTTTGCTACACACTTTGTGTGTGTGTTAGTTTGTGAAAGTGGAGATGTGATAGAAGAATTTTTATGTCCTATGTTACAAAATGAATGACATCTTTCATATGCATAATATAACTGTTTCTCTTCTTAGCCATAGATTTCATAATCTCCAATGGCAGGGAAAAAATATTTGGAAACACTGACATTATACTCTGATTCATTATGCTCCAATTTGTTTCCTTATAGTTGATAAGTTTTTGCTACAGATACATAACTGGGTTTTATCTGGCTGTATTGCTGTTAACAGTTGCACTAAACAAGTGGCTTAACTATTACTCATTACAGTATATCAAACTTACCGGTACTTCTAAAAGTAAAGTCCACATAAAATGGTTAAAATAGATAAAAAGTGAGTGAGAGAATGCCAGACATCAAACTCCATTTGTCTATATCAGCAGATACATAACTATTGTTTTAATCACTGCAGGTTTCTAACTTTTCCTTCTGTTGTATGCATTCTTCTTTTCATAGCAGATGCTGAGGAGCACTGACAAATTATAGTTCATTTATCAATAAGTGTTCATTGCTTGATTATGATGAAAAACCCTGCTACTATTTAAGACTTGTTTTTACAGCGTTTCCATTTTCTTCCTTCATCTTTTCAGATTATGGCACAGGCTCAAGGCTTTGGGAGGAAATACATTAAAGCCTTTTTTAAAGGCTTCTTTGTTGCTGTTCCTGTGACAGTCACTTTTCTAGATAGAGTGGCCTGTGTAGCAAGAGTGGAAGGAGCATCAATGCAGGTAACAAAGCTTTATTTACTGTTAAATTAAATCCATGTGTTTAGCAAGGCCTGTCTCTCAGTTTTAAATGACTGATAACCCAGTTTTAAAGGTGGAGGGTGCAGGTGGGATATTGTGTAGTAAAATGAAATGTATGGAGAGGGCCTTACCTGACGGAGTGGTCTACTTTCTAATATGTCACATGGGTATTCTGTAGTATGACAAGAAAAGGCTCTTGGGAGTAAAACTTCACAGAAGACTATAATGCCAAGGAAAGCAAAGAGGTATTCTTTCAACAAAAGATCTTGCTAAAATTTTGGCAAATCCAGATATACTCATTTTACAGTAGTAAAAATTTCAGTATGAAATGTTCTATTTAAAACACTATGCATTTTAATTTTAAAAGAAAAACAATTATTACCAGGCTTATTATTACTCATGACTTGTATACAGGTATCATTTCAATAAGGAACCTGTGGAACTCGTTGCCAGGAGTGGTTGTTAAGGCCAAAACTACAATTGGGTTCAAAAAAGAATTAAATAAATTCATGGAGGATATGTCAATCAATGGTCAGCATTGCCAACATGGTCAGTGATGCCACACCATGCCCTGGGAGTCCCTAGCCTCTGACCACCAGAAGCTGGTAATGGACAACAGGGGATGGAACACTTGGATTATTGTCTGTTCTGTTCATTCCCTCTGAAGCGCCTGGTATTGGCCACTGTCGGAAGACAGAATACTGGGCTAGATGGACCATTGATCTGACATCCTATATGGCTATTCTTATATTCTTAAGCTGGAAAATAGATGGCTTGAAATCGTGCTAATGCTTATTTTGTTTATTCGGAAAGTGATATTCTAATGAGGTTATACTGTATGCTTGCGATATAAACTGATGTACGAAAGCACATGAATATTGTGATATTTTTTGCAGTTTAAAGGGACATTTAAAAGGAAACAAAGGATTCTTGCTACTGAAAACCACCACTGCTTCCCCTTACTGTGTTATTGGGACTTTTCAAATGGATGCTGTTTCAATTTTGCAATTCTGTCAGGGTGATTCTGTTTGCCCGTTGCTTCATTGCATTCTGATGAGCATATTCCAACATGTGTAGCTGTAGTGTCTATCTTCTTCTAACAGTGCAATCGCCCGTCCCCCAGTGAAAATTACCTTAGTGTAGCAAGGGGATTGTCTTCTCTGTCTTCTTTAAGGATAATAGGGACCAGGGGTGAATCAACTTCTGTTCCATGTCATGGCTCTTTAAAGTTCCTGGACTTCTGGAGTAGCTGAAGATCTCAGGAAGAGGAGAGGCAGGTGTTGGGAGAGAGGAAGTGTCTTGGGGAAAACCCAGGCTACTGTTTCTTTAAGGGCCCAGGACCAGGAGCCTTGTAGTGTAGTGTGGGGCCAGGCCTTCCCTCTCTCCCAGCCAACAGGATAAGCTCTGGAAAAGAAAGCATTATATATTCTTCCTCTTCTGTCATAACGAGAGATACTAGCAGGGGACAGCCTGCTGACTTGGGCCAGCTCAGGAGGGAAAGGACTGAGTTACAAATGGGCCAGCTGGGAGAAGCTGGCTAAGGCTGCAAGGGGCCTGAAATTAGCACATAGGTCCTAGAAGGAGGGCTGAGGGACTCCTGAATGAGGGAGAAGAAATGTGCTTGAACTAGCACGCAGGCCCCAGAAACGAGACTGTGGAACTTTGGTATCAGGGTGAAGAAACCTGCTTGAACTAGCAAACATACCCCTGAAGGAGGGTTGTGAGACTCCTGAATCAGGGAGAAGAAACTTGCTTGAACACAGACTCCAGAAACAGGACTGTGGGACCCCTAAACTTAGGAGAAGAGAGGCTAAGCCTGAGGAGCTAAAAAGAGTTTGTATTTGGGAGAAGACTAAATAAATAAGACCTCACAAAGGAGGGGATCCTATTTTATGTATTCTAGCCTGAGTGTAAATTATTGTAAAGGACTAAGGGCTGGTCTACCAGTGCAGCTACAACGCTGTAGTGTGTCTGATGTAGACTCACTATGCCAACGGGAGAGCGCATAATTACCCCACATCAGCTAGAGGTGGAGGATGTAACTTGCATTCCTTAGGCGGTAGCTTTTTCACACTCTGAATGATGTAACTTACATTGACTTAAGCGATAGTGAAGAAAAGCCCTAAGAGGGAACTGAGAGCAGGGCAATCTCAGGCAGTGTGACTTCAATTTGATATTGCTCAGTCTTGATGATGAATATAAATTACTACTTGATCATGAATTTTATTCTTTTTTTTTTTTTTAATAGTAAAGGCTTCAAAAGTACTTACAGATTAAAGGTTTGACTCTGTGAGGGACTGAGCTGACTTTTTTGATGCCCTGAGCCCAATGAGAATTAAAGGTATTCAGCACTACTAGGATCAGCCTCTAAAGGTTTGAAAATGCTGATTCATAGTATTTGAAATGTTTTGGGCTCGATGAACTTTCAACAAACCACATGTTTGCATTTCCTGTCAGCTCACCTGATGGGCTACAAGGGAGCCTGGACTTCCAGAGTCCATGGCTTTGGGCTGCCCTGCATGCTGATTGCCACAGGGCTGGGGACCCCAGGACTTCCAGACTCCTGGGCCTGCTGACTCCCCAGGATTCCTGATTCTCACAGCCTAGTAGGGCTGCCCTGAAGGTGTAGATGTCATAAACTTGGCATCTGGTGGTTCTTGTAAATTTCACTGTTGCCCACCAATGTCAGTTTCATTCACCAGATGCCAGAGTCTTGGGGAGCAGATTTCACTTTTAAAACACCATGTGTTGATGATTCTGAAACAAAAATTTCACGGAATTTCCATTTCATAGGAAACTTCAAAAAATTGGTTTACCAAATTTCAAAATGTTGACATTTCCCACTAAACAAATTCAAGTTTTGGCCAGCTCTACTTTTGTCCAATAGCTGAAAAATGTATGTTAATTTTTTAGCCCATTGAGACAGGACCTCAGATTTACATCTCCTGAAAGGCAGCATCTCCAACAATACAATACAATACGTTCTAGAACCATGCTGGAATATTGGTTTAGTGCTGATTTGGAGGGATGAGTGTTACAACCCAATCCACATGATCTTTTGTATAAGATAAGTTTGAATAACACAAAAAGCATAGTTAAAAACAGTTATACTTCTATGCTATATAACATATCTCACATTCGTATGTCATGACATTTTTCAGAAAAACTACAAACCTTAACTCATTTTAAACATTCATAATAAAATATTCAGTTATTTTTATGTGAAGGTTTATTAGATCCAAATGAGACCAGTCTTTTAGCAGGCATGTTATTTTAACGAAATGTATCTCTCTCTCATACTGCAGAGCTTGAGAAAGGAAAACTGCAAGTCACTGCTTTAGAATGCCATTTTTTTATCTTGCACTCCAGAAAGTGATTTATGTTGAATGCATTTGAAAGCTATAGGATAGGAGGGAAAGTAAAGCTCAGTCAACATGTAGTCTTATTCATCAATAGCACGCTTCTATTGGGTATATGATTGTGTTGACTTCAAGCTCTCACTGTATGATCTCCAAGATTTGATTTGTACTAGACCGCTTAGACGCCTAGCTGGCTTTTTGCACTCATTATTCTGATTCCTGCTGAGTTTGAAATTAAAAGTTTTATGTCAAGAAGCAAGGAATAGGGCTTTTTTTCTTTTCAGATTTTTTGCTTTTTGTTTTTATTTTGAACCCAGAACGTGTGTAATGTTGCTCCACAATCACTAAAGATTGTAACTCTTTTGATACTCTGGCAAATATACTGCACGGAGGTCCTCAAGAAAACAGATATTTTGCAATTTATCCTCAATCATTATGGCAGACTTCACGAATGTAATTGTTTCATGTTGATTTCGCATTTTCACCTGGTGGAACCTTTCTTCTGCTCAGTCACCTCTTTGTGGGTATTCATCACTAATCTGTAAAGTAATGCACCATTCAGTGTTACCACACTTTACTGCTTCATCATCTGTACTTTTTTTCTTTTTAAGTGTCCTTTTCTTTAAATCCCTAGTGGAGGCCTTGTTTCTTAGACCATCAGAGTTTTATGGAGATATACCTATCTCATAGAACCGGAAGGGACCCTAAAAGGTCATCAAGTCCAACCCCCTGCCTTCACTAGCAGGACCAAGTACTGATTTTGCCCCAGATCCCTAAGTGGCCCCCTCAAGGATTGAACTTACAACCCTGGGCTTAGCAGGCCAATGCTCAAACCACTGAACTATCCATCCCCTTGTGGTGTGCTCCTCTAACATCTTGTTAGTAATAGTGGACTTCAAATGGATCCGTGTTGATTTACAGCATTGAATATATGTGACACAGAAACAGCTGGTGTGATAATTTAGTGATTTACTGTTATGGATCTTGCAATTTTTCCTGTAATGTTGACTATACGCTTATTTTATAGGGTTACTGTCCTATATAAATGCACCTTCATTTTCAGTCTATATCTGTTCATGGCTTCTTCTGTTGAGTTACAATGCTTTCTGTTTGTCTGATACATTAAAGTTTGTTTATACTTCAGTGGATTGATCATGTTTTTTCCTAATGATGTGAAAAAAGGAACCCCCTGATGGTTAATGAACGTAAGGATTCATATATCCAAATTAGCTGCTTTGAAATGTTAGATTACAAAATGAGCTTGCAATTTTATTTCCAAGTTCAGCAACAAACAATTGTGTGTGTTATACTAAGAATTTAGTCTGATGATCAATATCCTCTGACAAAGTACACCTGCCACTGTAAACACTACAGTAGCAAATATTTTTGACTATTATAATCCATTATGCAGTGTACCTGTAGTAATTACTTATTCTATGGCAATTTCTCCTTACATTATTATTGTAATATTATGATTACCGTGACTATACCTATGCCTGCATGCTGCTTTGAATATTTCTCCTCTTCTTCAAGCTCTAAGAAAATAAGCCTTGACCTTCTTGTGTCCACCAGCAGCATAATAAGTATCAAGTTAATCATTATTTATTGTTAAAGGGTGTATTATTTCCTTCTTACTGATAGAACCTTGTGTCCCGTGAGGCTCCCATCATATGACTGGGACCTCAATTTACATGCATTTAGCATTAGATTCATTAGTAATTGGAGAGTCAAAGTGCTGTGTGACTTCTGCACCCTTGTTCTAAATTAAGACCTATGTGTCCCATTTGCACTGAGCTATTAAGTCAGGAGCTTGAACAAACTAGAGAGGTTTCAGACTAGAGATATGTATGCAACATTTTTGGATTTTGTTTCCTTAAAAATAACAGCATTTATGGGTCCATTTGTTAACCCTCTTTCAGAAGTAGCAGTAGGTGTGTTTGTGGATTTTTTTTTAAACTTGGGGTTTTACTGCTAATAAAAAAGCATGGAGTGTAAGTTACCTGTAAACACAGTTTTATATATGGTGTTAGTGTTCAGGAAAGACATCACAATTTATACTGTTTGCTAGAAGATTTATTATTGGTTGCGGGGGACTGTAATTGTTAATGTAAAATGAAGGTCATCTCCTTCAGGTTCTCCCTTCTTCATGCCTTCTGCTCCTAAAGAACTGTTTCTGTATGTCTCAATAAGATGTCATTTCATTATATCAAGATGCTGTGGGAAAGAAGCAAAGCAAGTTATCCTAAATTTCAGTGTGTCCCTTGGATGTAATGTTAAAACATAGCTATTAATGAATTGGGTACCAAGCCTCTACCTCCAATCAAACAATGTCAGTAATACATTTTTAATAACAGTATAATTTTCACAAACTTGGCATAAGGTTTAGAATGCTGTGGAATACAATGATATTAATATATCAGCATATATTTAAAGTATAAGAGATTGTTTAACGTCACTAATCATTAGAACAGAAGACTGGGAGGCAACTGCTAGGTTGTAACTGTGTCACTGACTTGCTGTTTGTCCTTGGGCAGATCAGCTTACTTTTCCATGCCTTAAAACCCCCATCCTTAAAATGAAGATAATACTCACTTATCGCACAGGGACAAGGTGTTGTGAGTTTTGATGAATGCTGACATAGTATTTTGAAAGCTATGTAAGCATAAGGTGTGAAATGCATCTATTTTTGGAGCCAGAGGTTCAAATTCCAATTGTGTCAAACCCACCCTCCAGCCTTACTGGGTTTCTCCACACGAAGATATAGGCCGTGTCTACATGCCGACCATTTATGTTGGCAAAACTTATAACACTCAGGGGTGTGAAAAAACACCCCCTGAGTGACATAAGTTATGTGTCTCCCACCGATGTAACTACCGCTGCTCGTTGGGGGTGGTTTAATTTTGTTGACGGGAGAGCTCCCTTCCATCGGCATAGAGCGGCTACACAAGAGATCTTACAGCGGCGCAGCTGCATCAGTACAACTGTGCCATAAGAACGGCCATACTGGGTCAGACCAAAATAAGTATTAGCATGATTTCAAGCCATCTATTTTGCAGCTTAAGAATATAAGAACAGCCATACAGGATGTCAGACCAAAGGTCTATCTAGTCCAGTATCCTGTCTTCTGACAGTGGCCAATGCCAGGTACCTCACAGGGAATGAACAGAACAGGTAATCATCAAGTGATCAGTCCCGTCGCCCATTCCCAGCTTCTGGCAACTGTAAGCTCTCTAGTTTAGACATAGCCTTAGTGTGCAGCAAGCTAGGGTGTGAATGATTCAAACAGCGGTATGTCAAAGTGCACTATGGAACTTTTAGTGCATGGCAGCAGGGTCCACACAGTGAGTTAGTGCACATTAGGCTAGTATGCTGTAGATTTACACCCTGGCTTTCTGTGCACTAAGTCTCCATATAGACAAGCCCATAGGTAGATAAGTTGAGTACCAAGCAGTGCACTTGTGGGAATCTTTTAGATGAAACTTTATGTAGCTCTCCCCGCCACTTTCCTCCCTGGGTTACTCAGGAACAGGCAACACGCACTTGTGTGCCTGGGCACCTGATGTTGTTGACATTAAAGGAGATCCTGAGTATCCCAGTGGTGATGTTGGATAGGTGGGACATGGCACTCTGTTGGTTCTGTGTATCAGCCCAGCCAAGATAACAAGCTGCACAACCCATCTGAAGATGGGAGTTGGCCCCACCAAATGTCAGCAGCTCTGGATCCTGGTTCGATGGGAAGATTACTCTGCCTCTCCTGAGACTCAATCTCTCTGCTGTGCCCCTTCCCTTGCAAGTACTTTCCCAAATAAGAGTAGGGGTTGCTCACTGTACCTTCATGGCAGACTCATCTCAGTCAGCTCCAGGCACAGCAATAGTCTCTCCCCTGGCTCCAGTGAAGCCACAAACATCTCTGAAGCTCCTTGCTCCATCAAAGCCCCAGCAGGCTTTCTGCAGCAGCTTCTGTCTTCCTAGCAGCAGCTCCTGGTATGGGCAGAGTGCCACACCGGCAGTCTGGCTCCTTTCCTCTTTCTCTTCCCCCCGCCCCCCCCCCCACACTGCCTGCTCTCTCTGCACTCCCTGGAAGAGAAAGTCTCTCACTTTTTCCCCAAGGCATCATGGGAGTTGTAATCTCTAAGACTAGATTGCAGCACACAGGATCTTCCCAACTAGAGCAGCCCCAATAAAGTTCAGAGGCCCCTCTAATAAAAGGGGCCTATACATAAAAAATAGGGTCTGTGCAGTCTACATAGACATCAGAGATTCTATGACACTTTCAATTACATTAGGGGTTTGTGCTTTTGTCATTGCTCCACTATCCTCACTGTCATGCAGGATGCTACTTACCCATTGATTGCTACCCTCCAGTGCAGAGGTGGTTGCATTTCAGTGGCGTGAATATAGTTTGTGAATCATTTGCAAAGTAAAGTGCTATGCAAATGTAGAAATTATCCTCTGATGAAAGATGCTGCATAAATAGAAAGTATAATATAAGTAGGAAACAATATTAAAAAAAAATCTGATGTCCACTGAAATATAGTTGTAATAAGATGATTTCCCTTAACTGGTGCTTGCTGTACATATAGTTTGCTAAATATATACCTGCCATTTCTAAGTATTAGGGGCCAAATTCCATTGACCTCAATTGGAGTTTTGCCAGTTTACACCAGTGGAAATTTGACTCTGTGAGTTTAAACCTGCAGATAAAAAGGAAACTATCTTTTGTACTTAGTACCTGACTAAAATAATGTATCGTAAATAAATGTTTTATACCTTATTCTGATACTGATGTCTATGCATGAGCTTCATTCTTGTTAACATGACTTATACCTGCCTAAAACCTTGGTGGATCCATTTTTGTCTTACGTCCATAAGCTAATATCACACAAGTCCTATTTTAAATAAATCTTTGTCAGCCTCTGTCTGGGTAGGAGACAAAAGAGGAATGAAGAAACACTGTTTATAATGAAGAGAAATGGCATTCAATTTTTAAGCAGCTTTATAAATAGAAAACAGTCAATGAGTAGGCAGATGAGAAAATATGAATCATTACAATTACTTTAGTGAAGCTGAATTCTGTGTCAGAAATTCTAGGTAGTCTTCTTTAGACTAGCAACATAATTCGTAAATAATTATTGTGAATATAAGTAAACTGAGGCCTACACTGAGTGATGACAGGTTGATGAGAGCTCTAAGACAATGTGTTGGGAGGACTTCATTTCAATGCATTGTGCCTGTTTGTTGTGATCATCATAGATACATCCAATATGAGCTGGAGAGCCCCAGAAGCTAATTAGCTCATGGTTGGTGGAATGCTCCACATAAATGTCAAAGAACAGAGAACTGAAAGGTGGAATCTGAAGTCTTTTCTGCAGTTAATCAAGATACATGTCAGTTAGCACTGTAATAACAACATGACAGCTGGAGCTCGTTGAATATTTTCTGATGGAATACTTCCATTGGAAAATGCTGATTTGATAGAATCAAAACATTCTGCTGTAGCATAATGATTCTGTCAAAACTTTCAGTGGAAACAAGGTAGGCCAACTAGCCTTGTTGCCTGCCAGCCTGGGCGCTCCCTGCTTCCCAGGGCAGCTGGGAAGAAGCTGAAAAATTCCATTTTGGTTGTCCTGTGTTACTTTTTTTTTTTTTTTTTTTTTTTTAAACCTTTTCGTCCTGATTCAGGATAAATATTTTTTTCAAAATTTTCCACATGATGGAAATGCCATTTTTTGACCAGCTCTGTTGGCAACTGTCTATTATAGCCTCGAAGAAGGGGTTAGCAGTCTCAGAACTCTCTCAAGAGGCAGGTATTTGATTGGACTGATGCCAGCCTGACTGAGTACATTCCCAAACTCTAAATCTGTCAAGCAAAGGGGCGTGCTAGCAGATGACCTCCATTACATATTTCAGGGACAACATGAGTGATACTTGATACAGACTATGGCAGAATGGCTCTTCTAAGAATGGTGCCACTCTTCATGAGAAGTTGTAGTGGAAAGCATTCTTGATTCCTGTTGTAGCCTAAGAAGAGTATGGAATTGCAGTTGAATTACAATTTGCATATTGTAGTGTATTGCAAGATGTACATTGTACTTTACTATAAATATATGGCATTTAACTATATCAGCACCTAATATACGTAGGTTCCACTGAACATACTCTTCTCACCAGTGATTCCGATCCTGGTCCCATAAAACCAATGGCCTTTAGCTTTAATGGGATCAGGATTGGGACCTCCCAGGAAATGGGAGAGGAGCTGGAGAGGAGTTTTAGGAAAAATGTTGAATTTCTTTCTTTTAACATAAAACCGTTTTCCTCTTTCCTTAGCCTTCCTTGAATCCAGGGGAAAGACAGGTGTCTGATGTAGTGCTTTTAAACCATTGGAGTATTAGAAATTATGAAGTGCAACGTGGAGACATTGTGTCATTAGTGTAAGTAATTTCAAATACATTTCAACGCATATTTATGCACATCTTGAACCGTCAGCATTGTAATAGGTTTCATCTGTAATGCCACGGTGTATTTTTGCATGCTGGCAATGAAGCTATACAGAAAATTGATCGTATGAGCAACAAATGCATTATTATTGTAAATTTTCAACATATAAGAAATCTTCAAAGGGTTCAGTATCATGGATTTGCTTGAAAGGAGAAAAATGTCAAGTACTGTTATATAGATGTTTACAAGAACTGCCAAGAAAAAAAGACATGTGCAGTAAGGTATTTGAGATTTCTAATCAAGTATAATGATCAGTTCAATGATAATTATAGATCTGGAATACAGTAGGTAAAAAAAAACTTGGATTAATGTAGCATTGAAGAGACTATTTTTTTAGGTCATGTTGCTTTATGGATATATTTAATTCAGGAGGAAAACCCTCTATTTTCTTAATGTTTAACATATCATAGTAACTTTTATCTGGAAAAGTCTATTTACCACATTTAAGTTTAAGTAAGATCATAAAAATCAGACTTCTCTTTAAAGTACAACTTTATATAAAAAAAGAAAAAGGCGTATGAATTAGAACATGGAGGCCTATGTATCAAGCCAAAAGGTGGCACTGTTTCTCTGTTGAAAATATTCAAGACCATTAGAGGACAAAAACTCCATTTCAATCTTAATGCAATATAGAAATGGAATGTCAAAGTGTGTATAACTGACATGATATAATACGTTCTCATAGTATATGCTTAGATGGTTTAAGCTTAAGGTTTTTAGTTTTATAAGGAAAATGCACAGTATATAGACTACAACTGAACTTGTCTTCTAAAGTTAATTTCCTTAGGTTCCCTATGCATGTTACATCTGTTTTAATGGACCATGTTGTTATGGCTACCTGTGTACTGAGGTGGCAATTAATATATACATTTTACAATTATTTAAGCAAATATAAAAAATCTACTGCTGTTCTTTTGTAGGAATTTTTGGATTTATTTTTCTGGTTCTTGAATGGGCTACTGCGTTTTCTAACAGATTTTTCTAAACGCTTTGACTAAAGTAGTATATTATTCATATTTGAGACACCTTACACTTTGTGGAGGGCCTCCAAATTCAGGCCAGCTTATTGACTGAATGCATAGAAGCAGATTCTACATGTGTGTACGTACTTCTGCCCAAGTCATATCCTAGAGGTTACTTTAAATACAGTAGTATATCTGGTTAGTAATTATTGGACTGAATAGAAAGTCAGTGAGTTTAACCAGGCACAACTGGAATAACATGGTTACATAGTCATTATGCTTTCAAAGGTTCCCTGCTATTGTCTGATCCATCTGTATGGATTACTTTCATATTGTCACACAGATGACCTGTTTTTGAAACCTTCTTGTTACCAGCCTTTTACATGCTGGGTTATACAGTTGTGTCCTCATTACTCTTTTGTCTTCTGTTTGACAGGGTTGTTCCCTCAGTTAGTTGGTGGTGGAAAGATTATCCACCCATGTGGAAGAGGTTGCATAATAGCCATGCAGCTGTACTGAGTTTTTTCCTTATTCTCTTGGGAAGTGTGCGGAAAGCACTGAATAGTATGTTCAAAAGTCACTATGAGCACAAAGGAAAACAAAGAGATGAAATTTAAGAAGATTCAGTATAGTTTTTTTTATGTAGAAATGTTAAAGGATACATCATATGTCATTACTTAATTTAGAGAATCTTATTATGTGGGTTCATTAGAAATTGAGTTAAACTAGTACACTGGCCTTTCCCTACTTCCAAACTTTGGAGAAATTTCAATCTAAATTTTGTGTCTTAGGCCGTTATGTCATTATACATTTTAAAGTCTGAATATAACAATATGATGTGGTGAGCCTTGTATGATGTAGTATTCACATGAAAAGAAATTGTGCAGGCACATGTTTATTCATTCAAGAGATTTAACTTCTGGAACATGAGTCTTTTATTGAGTAAATGGATTAATTTCTTTATCCTACTCATCTTGATTCCCCACCTATGGTTATATGATTCAGTGGTCAGTACATATGTTGTTTGTGTGTAATTTTACTAGCTTATTCTTGCATCGAGTATTTGATATGGGCATCACTATACTGCTTGTTAGAGGACTCAGTTAGACTCCGAGATTACAGGTATGCATTGCTACACATCTTACAAAATCAGCAACTGCATGTACACCCACATGATACACAGTCGCTGGTTGTAGATGAGAAGCATTATACTGTGGCATCAATACTTAAAAATATAAATTGACATAGAGGGCCAGATTTGGCCTCTGGATGTTGCTCTTCTGGCTTCAATGTGAGTGAGTAACTGATGGAAGAATTTGGTAGTAGAGGTGAAGTTTGTGTAGTTTGAGGCTTGTAAAACCTAGTGTGATTTCATTGTTTCCTTTTTAGTTTTTGTTAGAAGGAGCAGGTTGACCCAGAGGCGGATTTGAGTACAGGCTTCTTTATTGCGATACTTGTTCTCTTCGACCCAATTGTCAAGTAAGCACTGGATTAGTTACAGCACACTCTTTTTGTCTAAGTTAGTATGTAAACTCCTACATCCTTTACAACACCCCAAAAACCCTTATTAAGTAATAGAAACACCCATACTGCTAGTATACCCATCCCTATCTATTGCTCACAGCATTACACATGTCATACAGGCATTTTTGCCTTGAAAATACATTTCTTTGTAACAATCTGTTGCTACAAATTTCCCTCATCAGCAGTTCTCAGGGGAGGGAGGAAGGGGCCCTGAGCCACAGGGCTTGTTTATGTAGCTAGGAAAGGAAGGGAGGGGGAGATAACATTTCTTTTACCTTCCTTCACACAAAGGGCATTTATTCGATAATTACATTTCTCATGCAGCTGCAGGCCTTATCAATTCTTACAAGAAACAGGGAAGGGAAAAATATGGCAACATATGTATTAAACAAAGAAATACTGCCTTCTTATGCCTTTGTCCCCTAATGCCATGTCAGCACATCAGCAATTTCTCAGGTCTTTTATTCATCCTGTGTTAGATATATATTAGGGCTGTCAAGTGATTAAAAACATTAATAGAATACCATTTATTTAAATATTTTTGGATGTTTTCAACATTTTCAAATGTATTGATTTCAATTACAATACAGAATACAAAGTGTACAGTGCTCACTTTATATTTATTTTTAGTACAAGTATTTGCACTGTAAAAAAAAAAGTATATTTCAAATCACCTAATACAAGTACACCTCTACCTCGATATAATGCGGCCCGATATAACATGAATTCAGATATAATGCGGTAAAGCAGCACGCCACGGGGGCGGGTCTGCCCACTCTGGCGGATCAAAGCAAGTTTGATATAACGCGGTTCCACCTATAACGCAGTAAGATATTTTGGCTCCCGAGGACAGCGTTATATCGGGGTAGAGGTGTACTGTAGTGCAGTCTCTTTATCATGAAAGTTGAACTTACAAATGTAGAATTATATACAAAAAAACCTGCGTTCAAAAATAAAACAATGTAAAATTTTAGAGCCTGCAAGTCCACTTAGTCTTACTTCTTGGTCAGCCAATTGCTCAGACAAACAAGTTTGTTTACATTTGTAGGAGATAATGCTGCCCGCTTCTTGTTTACAATGTCACCTGAAAGAGAGAACGGGTGTTCTCATGGCACTGTGGTAGCCGGCGTCGCAAGATATTTACCTGCCGATGCGCTAAAGATTCATTTGTCCCTTCATGCTTCAACCATCATTCCAGGGGACATGCGCCCATGCTGATGACAGGTTCTGCTTGATAACAATCCAAAGCAGTGTGGACCAATGCATGTTCATTTTCATTATCTGAGTCGGATGCCACCAGCAGAAGGTTGATTTTCTTTTGGTGGTTCAGGTTTTATAGTTTCCGCATCGGAGTGTTGCTCTTTTAAGACTTCTGAAAGTCTTAAAAATGCTCCACCCCTTGTCCCTGTCAGATTTTGGAAGGAACTTCAGATTTTTAAACCTTAGGTCAAATGCTGTAGCTATCTTTAGAAATCTCACATTGGTACCTTTTTTGGGTTTTGTCAAATCTGCAGTGAAAGTGTTCTTAAAATGAACATGTGCTGGGTCATCATTCGAGACTGCATAACATGAAATATATGTAAAAAGCAACAGAGGGTCCTGTGGCACCTTTAAGACTAACAGAAGTATTGGGAGCATAAGCTTTCGTGGGTAAGAACCTCACATGAAATATATGGTAGAATTTGTGGCTAAAACAGAGCAGGGGACATACAACTCTCCCCCAAGGAGTTCAGTCACAAATTTAATTAACGTATTATTTTTTAACGAGCGTCATCAACATGGAAGCGTGTCCTCTGGAATGGTGGCCGAAGCATGAAGTGGCTTATGAATGTTTAGCGTTTCTGGCATGTAAATACCTTGCAGTGCTGACTACAAAAGTGCCATGCAAATGCCTGTTCTCACTTTCTGGTGACGTTGTAATTAAGAAGAGGGCGGCATTATCTCCTATAAATGTAAGCAAACTTGTTTGTCTTAGTGATTGGCTGAACAAGAAGTAGGACTGAGTGGACTTGTAGGCTCTGAAGTTTTACATTTTTTTTATTTTTGAGTGCAGTTATGTAACAAAAAAAACCCTGAATTTGTAAGTTGCACTTTCATGACAAAGAGTTTGTACTACAGTACTTGTATGAGTTGAAAAATACTATTTCTTTTGTTTATCATTTTAACAGTGCAAATATTTGTAATAAAAAATAATATCCACTTTGATTTCAATTACAACACAGACTACAATATATTTGAAAATGTAGAAAAACATCCAAAATATTGAATACATTTCAATTGGCATTCTATTGTTTAATAGTGCGATTAAAACTGCGATTAATCGCGATTACTTTTTTAAATTGCGATTAATTTTTGTGAGTTAATCGCATGAATTAACTGCCATTTATCTACAGCTCTAATATATATATGAACCCTTAAAGCTTTGCTAACAAAAGTGGGTGCCCAGT